CTGCCGGACACCAGGTGCGGGCGGGGGGGGGCCGGGGGGGGGGGGGTGTCCTGGGCCCGCCTGGGCAGTTCTGGGGCTGCTGGCCACGTGGTGCCCGAGGAGCACAGGCAGCTGGGCTGACGGTGCTGGACCCCTGCCCTCGCGCAGCTCACTGCCTGGGAACCACGACAGTCTGCAGTGCGCCCCCTGCCCACGTTTCCTTGCGTGGCCGCCCTGTGATGGCCGCCTGGTGCCCAAGAGCCAGGCGCCTCCACCTTGTGGACTCCGGATCCCCTCTTGGGGCTGCAGTGGAGAGCTGGGGCCGGGCAGGGTGCCGGTGTGGTTCCTGGATGCAGCCAGGGTCACAGCTGGTGGACAAGGTGACAACTGTCAGGCCAGGGCATCTCGGCAGCAGGCCCAGCCCCCGCTCTGCTGTGCAGGCCCTCAACTCTGGGCCCCAGGCCTCCCACAGGGCAGGGGTGGGCCAGAACCTCCCCGGGCCCCACAAGGTCCTGGGTCTCAGAAGCTGACCCGTTGGCCTCACAGGGTCGGAGACAGCAGCACGGGGCTTGGACTACCCAGGCTGTCCCCTTCGAGCCTGTTTTCTCATGTAAAACGGGGACATAAGCGCTCTCTGGTCTCCCAGCAGGCCCTTCTCCAGGGCACAGGATTCTTGGCCAGCTGGAGGCAAGCAGGTGGCGCCCTGGCCTTGGCCCCCCAGGACACACAGCACGTAGCAGTGTTCTCTGCACACAGAGGCCGCCCTGGCCCGGAGCCCACCTCGCCTGCTTTAGTCATGGCCAAGTGCAGGGACCTGGTGCCTGGCGGTGCCTGGGGTGCCCAGGGTCCCCCTTCCACAGGCCACCCCCATCCACACAGGATGCTGGGAGTCGGAACACTCGATAGGAGGCAGGTGGAAGGCAGTCCTGGACTTCAGCTCAGAGGAGGTGATCCGAGACCCACGACTGAGAAATGCTCTCTTCAGTGAGGGCCTGGAGAGGCACCGTGACTGGGCAGAGCGGCTGACCTGTCCTCCGGCCCCGGAGGGAAGAGCCAGGGACCCCATGGGGGACAACTCGGGCTGGCAGGCCCACCCAGGCTGGGGTCGCTGTGTCTTTGCCCTTGGCTTCTGTCACAGGAAGGGGCCCTGCACCCTGCAGCCTGCGCCCTGCTGTGCTCCTGGGGCAACAGCAGGGTCTCCAGAGACCACCCTGGAGCGGGGCACTGGGAAGGCAGGAGTGGTGTCCAGTGTCCACGGAAAGAGGCACAAGGGCGTGTGCGGGCTGGGTTTGTTTCCGGCCTGTCACTGCCCAGCTGAGGCCCTATGGCTGTCACTTCACCCCCAGCACCAAACACGGGCTTAAAATGGTGTCTCCTTTTTAGGGTGGTTGCCAGCCCAGGTCTCTCCACCTAGCACCCCATGGGTGCCCCATGGCTTGTGATGCACTCCGTGGGGCCTTGCCAGGGGCTCGTGGGCCTGCAAACCCCGCCCTTGGTCCCTGCAACAGCCCTGTCCTGCTGCTCTTTGTCCTCCTTGCACCCGTGAGTGCGTGCAGGGGCTGCTAGCCTGCTCTCACACTCTCGGGGAGCCCCAGGCCCTGACCTCTGTGCCTGTATTCCAGGAGTACCTCTGGGGGTGCCGTGGCCAGGGGAGGGCAGCGCCTGAGGGCCCCCGGGTTTTCAGTGGACACGACCGCCGGGGGACAGCCAGTGATGCACACGGGCCACCACATCCCAGAGCCCACGGCAGACATCGCGACCAGCCACAGCACCGCCAGAGCCGTCCACCCCAAGGACAGCTGCACTGCTGGGCGCCAGAACACGGGTGTGGCCGCATGTCCTCCCGGCAGAATCCTGCTGCTAGGCCTGAGGCCCACTGGCCAGGGCCTGCGCGAGGGCACCGGGGCCGGCGCTGATGTGCTGGTGGCCCGAGCCCCTGGAGCTCTTGCGCACGCTGAGTGCGTCGCCGCTGCCACGCTCGCTCTCGGCCCCTCGCCTGCGGAAGAGGCCACGGACGGTGGCCTGGAAGCCGCTGGTGACGAAGCAGTACACGATGGGGTCCAGGCAGCTGTTGAGGCTGCTGAGGGTCACAGCCACGTGGTAGGCCACGAGGCTGGCATGGTGCGGCAGGTGGGGCCACAGCGCCACGG